TCGATGGGCTGAATTGCACAAAACGCATGATCGCACCGACTAGTCTGGTGCGCGTTGCCATTTATTGAAATCGTTTTCTAGCCAAAAATTCATGTTTTCGACACTCGCACATGAGACCAAGGTGTACGCGAACATTGCTTTTAAGTACAGGGATTGTACTTCGGCTAGAAAAATCCCTATCAAATTTCAACTTCCGAGCTTCTACAGATCTTTCCAAGAAATCCGAACAGTACACACACTCACACACACACACACATACACACACACACATATATATCTATACGTAAAAGCACATGCATACACACCTACGTACTGCAACAACCATCCTCGCTAGCGTGTCTTTTCACATTTGCATGGATATGTAAAAACTCATAAAAATGAATCCAGTTGTGCAGTTAAAGGATTTTTAGCGAAATCTGAAAGTAAAATGAATTTAAACTGCAACTAAACTCCACCATGCGAATTGAGAACTTTTTTGATTTGCGGCACCTCCAAGAAAGTAAATCCATCTTTTTCCAGTTCTTTCGACTGCTGCTTATTAAACGATTTTTCGAGATTTGTGAAAATGCCGCTAATGCGTTCTGTTGCCTGCAACATTCCGTGTCACTATATGGATTTACAAAAAAGAAAATGCATATATAACGCATAATATTACGAATCGTTCTACGAAAATCGATTGTGGTGCTAGGATACTTTAAATATTTGACTGAAAATACCGAAATTCGATGTACCTTCTCCTTCCTCCTTCCCCCTTTCCTACTTCTAGAAAAATGCGCATGTACAACTAGCCAAACACTTTACTGTATCTCAAAGGTAGCGTAATCGAATTAGATTATTGGGATCATACATTTCCTACGAGCGATTACAAATTGCAGAATGTTTGTTATAAATTCAGCTGCTTTTCCTTTGATCATAGCAACATCAGTAATGTCAGTGTTCGTTTTCAGAAATCTTCAACAAATCGAAAATGGTAGCAATTTAGACCTCAAAGAATTTATCTTCGAGACCGAAAAAATTTGTTTGCTCGAGAAAATCGAGACCCATTTCGACAGCATGCCGTGCTCCAGATACATCCATTACCATTTCAATCACTGCCTTCCGATCTTTTTCCGTCATGCCACTATCTTCCAGTAACTGAAAGATAGCATCATTTTCGTAGTGCTACAGATTAGCGTATGCTTCAAACTTCTTTGTTTTGCTTGAAAAACAATAATTGCAGCTGACCGATATACCGCAGAATAAAAAGAAGCAAATTGAAAAATTTAAGCAGCGAAGGACTTTGGCAATCTTTCCAAGTGGGATGCAAAAAATGCATGAATTTTGAAATCGTTCTACTATTTGATAGCCAGCGTTTTAACAACACAGAGGTAATGCTTAAGTCTTTCTCACTTTTCACTCCCCATATCTGCTGAAAGAGCTCGGACATAATTCGAGAGTTCACGCTGCTGAAAGGTATTTATAGGCACTGCTGCCAGTGGCTCTCTCTTGCGAGGGTTGCTTACGAACAAAAAAAAAAAAAAAATTAAGTCGAAGATGGTTATGTTGTATTGACATGTGTCACTACCAATTTACCATCCAAGCAAATTAACAGAAGGACTGCTTGACCTGTTCGCAAGTCCCTTGACATCATATCAAACATGACAGGTGATAACTAATAATAATGTAATGGCTGCAAAAACTGATAAGACTAATTAAGAAAAAGAATTTGATGGCATTCCCTGGAAATGGCAATCGCCGATTTGATGGATTCTGTCATCCGTTCAGAAAGCTTGAAAACTTATCTTTTACCAGTGAACATTTTCTTGAAACAATCAAAAATACGAGTAAAAAATTACCAACTTTTGGCAATGACGCGATACTGTCTGGGCTGTCATCTCGATAAAACGACATGATTGAAGGTGATAATATTCGCTCATTTGCTTCCATCTGCAGATTAGTGCATCAAAACTAGTCTAAGTGAATGAAACTGAAATAAAAGCCCGATTTTTGTCATTTGAAAAGGTTTTTAAAAAACGGTCGAAAATTAGTTATTAGTAAACTTTCCGTGACTCAAAAAACAGCGCTAGACCCTTAAAATATAATATTTAGGTTGCAATTCAAGTAAAATTGAATACAAGGACAAAACACACTTTCAAAAATTTTTTTTACAAAATGTATTAGATATTCGGCAAGTTTCGCTAAAAAATTTCTTTAGTTTTCAAACTGAGCATATAAATAGTAGTACCTTATCTGGCATCACAGGCATAAAGCGTGGACTCAAAAACCGGATGTTCAACTCCTTCTTATTCTTTTTCATGCCCAATTTGTTTACAAAATCGAATGCCATCGATAAGAAATCGCCATACGATGACTGAAGCATTAAACAAATACTGTTTTTCTGATTATTGCTTTTGGAATTACTTCAGTTTCAGTACATTTGCGTAGATACTTATTTGTTCGTAATACGAACTAGCTAGTAATACGAACTAACTAGCCGATACTAACTAGGCCTGGCAAGGTTGTACTCAATGTATGGGATCTCTGAGTTGTCCTTATATATCCTTTCAAACTGGCCCTTCGTACCAGCTTTTCACTTATTCGATAATTCTCAGATACTGATTAGTACAGTACCGTTTTAGCATTCCGACTGCTCGGATAGCTCCTGCATTCTTCATATTTGAATAAAGTATTGAGTACTTGAAAAGCTGAAAATTCAGCATGTTTTCTTTAAAATATTCACCTGAATTTTCGACTTGCTTGGCTTTTCGTTTCCGAGTACAAGGTCAAAAAGCCGAAAATCGTACACACGAGCACCACCTGACCGTAACCTTTGATCCATTTGTTTTTTAAATACTGTGATGCGCTCATACGTGCTTATCCACTTACCGTTTGCTTCTTTACCGCGTAGCATCACGTTGATAAACTTCGACAACTAAATTTCGAAAATTACATTCATTTAAAAAAAATAGATGTTACTCCTAAGTGTCATAACTGATGTTCCAAAGTATATATGTTTTTTGATCTGTGTTTTGATTTACCGGCAAACTGTCCTTCAAAATTTCAGAGGAATGAGAAGGAAATATGGTAAAATTATGGGTGTATAATGCATAATTATAAAAATACAGTTTATACCTTCCAGCGGAATTAAGCAATGCCTACTTGTTGTATTGGAGTTTTGTGAGCCTTCGGATCGTGCAGAGCTGGCATTTTGTTCGCCTGTTTCACCTGGAAAAAGAATTATGTATAATGCGCTCTCTGCAGTTCCATTCATTAACAGTTCATTAGCAGTAACGGAAATGGCAAAAGTTTGATATGAAATAAGTTCGTGATAATGCGATAAAATTAAGTATTTGTCATCCCCACGCAAAGGGAATTCAGTGTCTAAGCTGTATTTAGGTTACACGCGAAAACCCCCAAAATTGCTAAGTTGCAGCCTTCCAGATTGTTCAATTAACGAAGCAGCCACTTCGCTACAGATACCTTTAAATTGCCCTAAGGAATTTTTACACGATTGATAAATGGCATACCTAAGATAAATTCTGATTAATAAATCGTATACCTAAAATAAGTTCCGATCTGAAGGTGGATGATAAATATCCTGATAAATTTTCAAATGCTATTTTTCGACTAGCTTCGGAGTTGACACAGTGTCAAATGTGAACTTTCACGTGACTATACGCACGGTGTAGGAATGCAGGATAGCAGAATTTGAAATCTTTAGCTCATGCATGCATTGGAAACATCACTGTCAAGTTTCAGTTTTCTGAATGGTCTAGTTCTTGAAATCGTTTTCCCGCTATGAAACTTGCTTATTCATTTCAGCGTTCGAAAACAGTGCGCTAGCTGCAATGATGACATTTATGCTGATACCACGCTCCCAAAATCTCACCTCGGAGCTTTCTTGGTTGCTTAGTTGAAAGTGAGCGGCAAATTTCACCCCCTCTCTCCCCCGTCCCCCTCGTCTCCCCCCCCTTCCCACACACACACACACGCACACACCACAGATCTCTCGACAATATGAGTTTTCGCTCACTGCAACGCTGCAGCTCACAACGAAAGCGCATAAAAAAGGCAGGTGGTTTATAAGTTTTGGCGAACTGACGCTGAAGTAACTTACGTCAATGATGATGTTGTCACTCTTCATGATTTGATTTGATATCAGTCGATACGGACTGCGCTTGCTCCGATTTCTTACTTTCCCCAGAACTTTCAGTTGCATCAGGATACCCGCATTCGTGCTATTCGTCAATGTGAATAAACTGACTGGTGCACTGTTCTGATTCCATTTATGATCAGAATTCTTTCGCGAAATCTCCTGAGTGCTATTAAGTTTTGTTTTCTCAGCATGCCATCTGGCTCCGTTGAGGATATCTGTTAATGAGATTGTAGATTTGCGATGTTTAGATCGCCGCTGAAGCCCTTTAAAGAAGCTTGCAATTGTTGGCCCAGTGATATAAGAAGTTGACCTGGCTTTCATTGCCTTAAACTTACTTGCTGATCGTGTCCGTTCTAGCTCATTTATCGGCCCGATTAGTCCTGGTTCAATTTTTGGACCTGCTTTTTTTGGCCCATATGCCAAAACTGCTAGACTTGCTCTCAACCTGCTTGATGATTTTTTAGCGCTTGCCCCATTTTTCTTCGCCACCTTCAATTTCTTTGGCCATCTTATCCGATTTGGACTGTTTGAAACTCTTGTAGTTCTCAACCTCTTTATAGGTCTCATTTTCAAATGATTCCCTTCAAAATATTCAAATTGTCGTTGGCTTTTGCTGCTTGCTCGTCCGTGTGCATTTGGAGTAGGTCGCAGTTTCAGTGCATCCAGAAAGAATTGAAAATTAGCATTCAGTTTTCGCTTTGACTCATTTCTGCGCAGTTTAGAAGACTGTGAAATTTTCGGATAAGATTTCGTCGAATTTTGGGGCAACGAAATTTCTGTAGGCAGTCGGTAGCTGTTAATCAGATGGTGCCTTGCTTTCTTTGTCGATTTAATAGGTAAATGGCTATCTTTCGAAGCAGAAGAAGCGTCTTCCATCGAGTTACTTGCTAACAGAAATGCTGGCGAATAATCGTCTTTTGGTTTCGAAGATTTTCCAAATTTTTGTGGAGTTATTTTATACCGCGCTTTTACTAAACATCTCGCACCAGCTGCAAGATCGCGCTCATCCACAATCTTATCCAAGCACGAAGCAAGCGTTTTTCGTTCCCCTAAAAAAGTCTGTGTGTTTGTAACAAAACAAGTGAATTAAATAACTGTTCAAGTGGTTCTCCACTAATTTTTCATATACTCACTTTGTTTTTTTAATTAAAAATTTTTTGTTACCATCAGCATTAATACAGCTTTTTTCGGGTAGTTGGAATACATTATATATTAGGAATACCAGGACGCTCAGACAAAAATCGGCATGGGGCCAAGCTAATGATTTGGTGAATTAGTTCCACAAGTCGGACACAACTTGGCCAAACGGCTCGATCCCAAGCTATATACATCCAGTTAGTTACCTACGGCTTCCTATGACATGTGAGTATTAGAATATTTCGTATACCTTCGGCTAGCTGTTGGTACAGCTGTTTGCCCAACTGCCCGAACAAAGCTTTGACTGCGTGGATGTACCAATTCATATGCAAATTTTTCACCGCCTCGAAGCTTTTCTTATTCATTCTTGCTTCGTAAACTTTCTTGAGATCATTGGGCATCGGTCGAATGCTCGTTACTGAAACTGCGCTTTCAGGCTGATGCAAAATTATACGAAATTCAATCCGGTTTCTAAAAATTCCAGCCAAAAAATTCCAGTGAGAAGAAAATGTTTATATTTCTTATTCAAATTTTAGAAATCCATTTGCAAAAAAAAATGGTTTTTGTTCTTTAACTGTAAAATGCGACAAATCGTAGCAAAAGTGTTTCCTAAAAAATGGTGCAAAAGCAAACAGGCATGCACTTTTGTGACCTAAACCTTTCGGATTCATTGCTGCATAGGATTCAGATCATTAATTATGGGGAAGTAAATTGTCACTGATGAATGTTTAACCTTGTACCTGTCTGGAGCATTATTGGCACCATCAGGCAACGTGCAAATTGCATCGTTTACACTACATACACCTGCAAAATGCGAAAATTTTTTAATTTTTATTAAAAACTTGAAATTTCGGCAACGGAAGCAAAGTTCCGTTTGATTTTTGCCTAAATACTGTATCAAAAAAGCATTAAATTAAAGTATGGGCGAAGAAGCAAACTTTGAATTTACAACTGCCCCAGGTATTTCGCTAAGTAACCAAAGAAAAAAAAGCATATTTCTTCAGTCTAAAACATTTACCACCCGTAAGTATGCGCAAGTTGCAATGCTGTGCGAGAGTTCTTCCTGGGCTGTTAAAAAAGTAAAGCCATTTGGTTACTTTCGCTTGGTGTAGCGAACCTTTTTTCTTGCTGACAGGGGATAAATGCAAATTATAGAGGTGATGAAGGATAGAATGTGGCAATTTGATTTCCTGCAGCAGTTTTTTGTTACGAAAATTGAATTTTCATGCAGCTTTGCATAATAGGCAAAGGTAATTTTTTTTCCTATTTGGTGTTTTTTTGAATCAGAAGTGCAGCTACAAGTGCTCTGCAATAAGATTATTCATGTTGACGAGTGCAAAACACTTCTGCAGAAAGTCAAGGGTCCAGTTCCGCTGAAAGGACAATCAGTTCGACAATCTGATACTTTTCAATAGAAAATTGATACTGGCAGGAAGTCGCTACCAGATTATTTCTAAACAACACATGGAAAAGGAAGCTATGTTTCCGACTCCTGTTTCTAGATCGCTGCTGCTGGTGTGTGCCGCTGTCTGGACTACCTCCGGATGCCTACATCCCTCATAAAGCATGATTTGTGGGGAGTTTTATTTATTATTTAAGAGTGACATCACTCACTTTCATTATTTGTTTCTTAGAAATATCCCAAAGAATTCTTTCATTATTTATTTTCTTGCGATGCAACAGTTATAGAAATAATAACAAAAATATCAATGCCAATCAATTTTTTAAAAGAAAAAAGATTTTATCAGCTTCTTCAACTATTTTAAATCACTTAAATCAGTAAACTGCATATAAAGTCACTTGGTGCAACAAGTTCTATGAATTGTACAGCTTACAATTTTTCACAGTCGTATAATTAGGATGTTATTGCTTGTCACTTTCTATATTATTACTAATATAGGGGTCTTATGGGAAAATAAGCGAATGCCTGTTCGGCCCTCCGAAGAAACCATGCAAATGTATATCGAACAAGCCGTGAGTACTAAGTAGAGGTATGCAGCCCAAGTCCAAAGGGTCTAGCTCAGCTGCTCGTGGCGTATGGAATAATCGCGATAAAATAACGTGGGATATCCACACTGATAGCGCGGACGACCTTGGTATTGTTGGTTTTATTTAAAAGTTGCCAATCAAAAGTTCTGGCCCATTAAACCTCCAGTGTCTAAAAAAAAATTCCACTAAAATTGAATAATTGTATTCAATTAGCCATATCATAAATTTTACGCAGATGTTTTACACAGCTCCGAAAAATCTGAAAAAAAACTTTTATTTCTTTTCTTCCTCCCTGGTGAGCAAGCGCAATATCGTGTAAATACAGAACTTTTTAAAATCTCTGTTTTTTTTTTT